AGCTCCCCACCCCTGCCCAGCCCTGCTGGAGGGGGTGCAATCCCCCTGCAAGCCCACTTACTTCAAAGGCTCCAGGAGGGAAAGTGAGCCTGAATCAAGCCCTGGTTGACTGAGAGTCTCAGGTCCCACTCCCGCCCCCTCAGAACAGGGCTTAGGATTTGTTGCCCTTTTTGCCAGAAGCTCTTGCAGGCTGGAACTCTGCAAGACTTCAGTTAGCTCTCTGCAAAAGTGGAAAATCCACGGATATCTGTTAAAATGAAAAATCTGTGGGGGGGGGTTTCTCTGTGAAAAGGGAAAATCTGTTTGGGGGGGTAGTTACCATATTTCCATGGGAATGGAAAGCCCAGATCCCCAGTTATGATATTCCTATTTCAAATAGTGATTTAATATTCATTGTAGATAGTGCCTAAGGGTCAGTTGGGTCAGTGCTGTAAAGACTAAATTTGTCCCATTTTGTAGCATATGGGTTTGGCTCTTCGAGTTTCCAGATGTATTAAATTATTGACTTTTTAAATTTTTTAAACTACTTTAGCAAAGGGGTTTTGCATCATCTGCATGCTGTTGTCTGGGACTTGCTACTGTCTACTTGCTAGGGTGGAAGGAGGAGAGGGAAATTGTTTCAGTGTCCTGTTTTCTAATGGCAGATATATATTTTGCCTGCTAATTCTGGAAAAATATTAATGGATCATTTGGCAGTGCCAAACAATTCCTCCTCACTGAGGGGAGCTTGCTTATTTCATTCGGCTTGGCATGTTATGCTTTCATCAGCAATCCAATTGCTGCTAATGTAGGTAGTAGGGCTGTGTGAAATTTCGCCGAGTGCGTCTTTTCTAAGCTGTTTTGATTTTGTTTCAAGCTCGAAACGCGACAAAAAGCTTAGAAACAAAGTGAGGGCGCAGCCTTGGCTCTCCCTGCCTCCTGGCATTGGGCTGAGCTCCATGGGGCTACGGAGCCACTCAGAGCACGGCCAGTGGCGGGACGCGGGAAGAGCCAAGGCTGTGTTCCGACCAGCTCTGCCAGCCCCACGGAGCTCAACCTACTTTCCTAGTGCTGTTGGACTCCTCCCAGGGGCGTGGGCCCTTGGATCTGCACTCTGGATGACAGGAGGCTGCTGCTGCTGCCTTTGGCCAGTGGCAGCATCAGTCTTCCCCATCACTGGGCGTGGGCTATGCCCAGCACCACTCTCAGGCAGCAGCAGCAGCCTCCTGTCACTCAGCACAGATACAGGGGCCTGCATCCCTGGGAGGAGTCCAGCACAGCCCTGCAGCCCTCCTGAGGGTGCAGGCCCCTGGATCTGCACACTGGATGACAGGAGTATACTGCTGCTGTCTGGGGCCAGCGGCAGCATCAGTCTTCCCCGGCGCTGCACACTGGCTGTGCTCAGTGCCGGTCACGGGTGGCAGTTAGGAGAAGAGAAGCCTGAGATGGGATTTACTAGCAGCCTTTAACTACCTGAAGGGTCATTCCAAAGAGGATGGAGCTAAACTGTTCTCATTGGTGGCAGATGACAGAACAAGGAGCAACGGTCTCAAATTGCAGCAAGGGTGGTTTAGGTGGGATATTAAGAAAAATTATCTCACTAGGAGGGTGGTGAAATGCTGCAACGGGTTACCCAGAGAGGTGGTAGAGTCAACAACATTCTGTCAGGAATGATCTAGTTGGGGATGGTCCTGCTTTGAGCAGGGGGTTGGACTAGATGACTTCCTGAGGTCCCTAATTTTCTATGATTCTTAGTGCCTGCTTGGGGCCTGCACCATCAGCGTTACCATCATACATTAATTTCATGCCTGTCGCACCGATGTAGTGCTGATGTCAGTGACGTTTAGGGGAATTGCAGATTTACAAGTAACCTGGTGGAACCTGTGATGAGCATCCTGCCTCTGGGTCCCCCAGAGGAAGACCAAGAGACTTGTTCAAGATCACACAGGAGGTCAGTAGCAGAGCAGGCCTTCGAAATGCCAGCCTTGCACTGTTACTCCTGGGTCATCCATGTTAGCATTCCCTTGATTTTTACACAAGCTTGATGATGACAAATTAAACAGCAACTCATTTTCCTTTCTATCAAGTTGAGGGAGAAAACTTAGTTTTCTTTTTTCTTCCATTTAACGTGGGGAGATTTTTTCAGGGGCACAAAAGGGGATCAGGTGGCTAACTCCAGTTGATTTTTTTTTTTCCAATTTTCTTTTTTTTTCTCTTCTTTTTTTGCCTTTGCTCCTTCGGGTCCTTTTGAATTTGAGGGCCAGCCTGTTTAACAAACTTGAACTTGCTCAATGTTAGGGATACAAAAGAATTTCTAGTGGGACTTGAGGCTTTATTCTGAACCAGTATTGTTAATGGAATTTATTTTATTTAGTTTGGAAACCTTTGGCGATCTGTTCGGTCTGCAAGAGAGCCCGAAGTAGGAGACAAATAGAAAGTATTTCAGCATAACTGTTGGTATGTACTATGTGACTTAATGCTTTTACTAGATAGGAAGTACACTGTGCTTGCCCACATTCTCTATCAGTATTGTTGTCTTTCACTGAAAGCTGGGCGTGGGGTAAAGTTTAGCATGGGTTATAATTAGAAACGTACTGTTGATGATATGCTGTTGAGTCTTGAATTGAATGCAAATGAACATTGAGTTAGAGCAGGTATAATATATATCCCCAGGATATTGATTAGGAGTCATCATGTAAGGAAGTCAGTTACGTCCTTTTCTTCATGCGGATTTATTTGAAAGCTTATTTTATCTTGCATTACAGTCTTGCTCAACGTGGAGCATTAAGAAGTGCTGCGTAGGGGGAGGCAAGTCTTTGCAAATCCCTCACATGCATACACACCAGCCTTAGCAGACCAGATAAAGCATGTGAGAAATAAAGGCTTTATTTCAAAATTATAGTATGCTGTTCTGTGTACATATACAGCCATTGCCCTTTCCTAGATGCCCCTGAAGCTGCTTAAGTTGTTCTTTCTAGGCCAGTGATTCTCAACCAAGGTGTTACAGTACCAGATACATTCACAAAATAAACCTGGAGATTTTAAACAGGAATCCATCCTGTCAATGACATTCCAGCCTGTTGTTGTCTGAATTCTTTACAACAGAAATGCTCTGTTACTTTTCCATAGTCAAATAAGTGAGTGAAAGCAAAGAGTTCAAACTTTCTGAAAGGTGCCTTGAGTCTAAATGTTTGAGAACCACTGTCCATGACAAGTGGTGTTCAGACTTCTGACCCCATGGGCCCCAGAAGAGTGGTGCAAGGCTGGTCCACAAACCTGATGCAGGGTGGGGTTGGCATGCTGGATCTGGCTGAAGAGCATCCCTGCATATGGAGCCATGCCATTCAGCTATGGGGCTATGTAGGGCTCCCCAAGGGTCTGGAAGTTTCGGCAGTGGGGGAAAGGTGGCAGCATCCAAAGCTGTAGCAATTAATGTTGCCACTGCTTCTCTGTTGTCAAATTTCTAGAACTGTGGGGTAGCCCTGCAGGCCAAATGACAAGGCCTCACAGGCGAGAGGTTGAGTACCACTGTCCTAGACCATGTACAACTTACTGCTAATAGAAATTTTCCTTCGGCTTGATAGGTAGAAATAAGTAACTGAGTTCTCTCTCTGCTGTTACAAGGGATTTCATTGTAGAAAGAATGTAGTGACAAGCCATGAAGTCCTAGGTGTCTGTGTATTTAGTAGAATCTAACCGTGTGTAGATTGATATTTGTACATGAACTGTTGTGTAGCCTAAGCGTGGACGTGTGCTAAAAGTCCGTTCTTTTGCAGGGCGTAGCACTATATTCCTTCCTGATATCATCAGAATCCTTTCACATGTTAATACAAATGGGACACAACAATGCTTTGTTGCAATATTTAAACACGGTGAATAGTCTAGGTGGGGCAGTGATATCAATATTACATGATTGCAGTGTAAATAATATAGGTGGCACCCGTAGTCTTTTCATTTAAGGTCACCTATCTCAAGAAATATAAGACTGACAAATAGGGGCTGTGCTTTTTTTTAATACCAAAAATTATTCTCTTTCTCAGAAAAAAAAAATCTAGTATGCAGAATGTTTTTATTCACCACAGGAAAACTGATGATTAAACATAATACGTTCATTTCCTTATTGTTGCAGGGTTTTTTCAGAAAAGGTAGCAGAAAAATAAAATTGATGCTTCTTAGCCTGTCCTATTGTACTGGATTTTGCAGCCTGGAGTTTTAAAAGCAGACTCCACTTAAGGCTTTTAGTGTTTTCATTTTAATCTGTAGCATGATTGTGTTCAAAATCTTCACTGTTTTACTGCCATTGGTGATAGAAATAAGGTGGAATAATAGAGGAGAAAGCTCCAGTCTTTGTGTGACAGTATGAGAGTCCAAATTTTGCATACCTCTTCCTCAGTTACACTCCAACCTTTGATGCTAGTGAAGTTGGGACCATAGTTGTGGAGGACTGGAAGATCTCAAAAATATTTGTGTGATTGGTAGCCAAAGTGATTCATTTACTTAAACTGTGGAAACCTATATCCTCCAGCATTCTGATTTTGAGACACTGTGGTCTGCTACAATTTACTTTGCTGACAATGGGGAGTTCATTAATTCCAGTACTTTCACTTGAACCAGGGAACCTTGTGAAACTGCTGACCTAGTGTCACTTCTGAGTGAATATTTTTTTGTAAGGCATGCATTATTAAATGTAGCTGTCATGGGCCAGTATTCATGCATTTAGTCATTCTAGACAGAATTTGTCCTCTGAAAGTAGAATAATGTCCTTACTGTTTAAATGAAAGAAGATACATGTACAGGCTGAATAGCATAACTTCATTCTGCTGCTGTGCTTAAACTATGTGTATTTAAATTGATTTCTTAAATGAAACAGTTTGGAATGCTGAAACCCTGGGTAAGCCCCCCCCCTTTCCTCTCCCCCCCCCCCCCCCCCCCCCCCCCCCCCCCCCCCCCCCCCCCCCTTTTTTTTTTTTTTTGGAGTCACTTAATAAATTGCTACGAAGCCTTGCCAGCTCATGGCTGCTGAAGATCCTGGGGCAATATTTAGTAAGTGTAATGGATTAAGCTATGCTTCACTTAGTACAATAATCTTCTACAGAAAGAGGCATTTATCGTTTTGAAAACAAAGAGTCTTTTCACTATACATTTAGCTGGCATTCTATTATTGCTTTGCAGAGAATACAAATGGTAGGTATTTTAGATCTTTAGCTTAGCTCCAAGCTTCTAAATAAATGTTTGAGTTTTTGTTTTTGTTTTTGTTGTTTTTTTTTTTTTTAAATATTCTCCCCAATGAGTATGGAGTTTGAGCCACAGCATTTACTTTCAGGATTAAATTTATAAAACTTTTAGCATAATGAGGTCATTTTTGTCCAGGTTCTAAGAGCAAATAAGTCAGTTTGTAATCCTAGATTTGTTAAGCATATTGTTGAAAATGGATCCCGGAGTTTGATGTCAGAAAGGACTGTTAGATCAACATCTTGCTTTCTGTCTCAAAAATATTAAATGTATAGGTATTTTAGTCCACTACCCATTTTCCAGGCAGAAGGTAGGCTATCAGTAATACGTCATACACATCTGCTTCTTTTTTAAATTGAAGATTTACATTTCAGGTCAGCATTCTGAAATCTCGTAAGGAGATTTCAGAATGAAATTTCTGCATGAAATTTAAAATTATTAGATGATAATGAAACGTTAGCAGATCTAAATCACCATTAATATTAGAAGCAAATTGTTAGAACATATATGTTCTGCAGCTAGTTAAATAGAGTAGAACAGAAAGATCCAACTTCCATGCTATATCAAACCTTTACATGCTTTCTGTTTCTGAACAGAAAATAATCTTTTGACTATTTAGCTCTCAAAACGGTTTCTTTTGACTTAAAAATTATCTGTGTACTAGATAATTGCCCGTGAAGAATGGAGGGGAGGCACCACCCAATGACCTGTGCTGCTGCCGCTCTGCCTCTGTCCTCCCAACATCCGCTGGATTTACCTGTGGCCCACCCTAACCTCCGTGGCAGGGACAGCGCTGCCATGACAGCGGGGACTGGGGGGTCAGGGGCCCCTCTCTTCCCCTCAGTCCCTGGTGTCATGGGAAAGGTGGGGATGGTGGCCCACATCCGGCCCTGCCCTTGCTTCTTGTCTGCCTCTGTTCCCCTGCTCTCCCTCCCCACGTTGGGACCAGGCCTGTTTCTCCCCTTGCTCCATGGTCGCCGCCTGTGGGGAGCAGTGCCACAAGAGGGGGTGGGGCCAGCGCCCCTCGGTCTGCTTCCTGCCTGCAGGGGTGGGGCATGGCCAGCGGCACTGCCCCCCGCGCCCGTCTGCTCTGTCACTGCTGCCTGCAGGGAGCAGGGCAGGGGGCATCCCCAGTGTTCCCACTTTGTCCCCTGTGTCCCTGCAGTTCCCCCCTCCCCCCCACGGGTCAAGGCCGCTACTCCCCACCCCCCCCGCCGCTTCGGGCCAGGGCCAGAGCCTGCTTCCCTCACCCCACTCCATCGCTGCTGTCACCTCAGGCCCTCCCATTCCATCACCACTGTCATGGCAGCGTAGCTGCCACCTGCACTCTGAAAGCTTGCATACTGATGGGTTGTTTCAGACAACCGATCAGAGTGTGTGAATACAGCATTATGGACAGACAGACTAAGGCTTTTATAATATTAGAATTGAGAGGTGCTGAAGCCCTAGGTGTCCCAATGGAAGGGGGTGGAGTAGCTCTCTAAGAACCTTGGCATCATTGGGCAACCATTAGGAGAGAAACTTGTAGTATCTAAGATACTGAGGTTCTTTCCTTGTATGTCTTTGAAATGCCTCATCACAAAAATTTATGCACAAATAGACATCCCCAAACATCCTCCTTTTTAGCACTCTATAGCTGTAGCAAACATAATTGGCTTGATCCTGTTTCAGCTACCTTAATTGTAGACTGTCACTAACCTCTTCATTTGGGCTTGCATAGTTATTGGTAAGAACTTGCAGGTGGATTGAATCAGAATGGCTAAGTACAGAAGTTTCATAAATTGGTTTGACCCAAATCCGTTAAGTCTGATACTACATTCAACCAGGTTCATCTTAAATCAGTTTCAGCTATTTTGAAACTGGTTTATGTTCACTGAGCTTCTGTTCTGTTACAGGTTTAAACCAATTTCTGATCACTTAAACTAGTTTATGTGTAATTTCTGTCTCTAGACAATTTCTCTCTACCTTCTGCCACTTTAGAATTTTATTTTGATTCTTTATAGTAGTCAGGCCATGGTTGTGTTTTGTTTGGGGGGTTTTTTGGGGGGAGAGAAGAGGGAGGGGGAGAGTTGGCCTTAACCAGAGTCAGCTTTTACCAAGCTATGCAGTGGTAGGGCATGCTTGCAACGCCAGGTCATGGCGACTGTACCACTTTCAAGACGAGTCAAAGTGCAACTGTAATACTTCCAGTGCCGTATATTATGGCATAAGCAACAATTTGTACCGACTAAAGGTGTGATATGAATACAGGTTTGTGGAAGAGCTGAGAACTATTCAAAAGTAGCAAAACTGCTCCAACTTGAATCCTAAATGACGAAGAGTTAAAGTTGAAATAGTTTTGCTATCTTTGAATTGTTTTCAGCTTGTTCACACAGAGCAATTGGAAATATACCAGCTGTTGCTCTTTTGAAAGGGCCCCTAACATTGTTGTGTCCATACACTATGTGTCTGGCAGTGACAGTGACTCAAGCCCCCCTGATGGATTAGGATGTCTCCCTCTATCCTGGTCCTGTTCTTCGTCCTGGTTACAGAAAACCATATTCCCCTATATCCCTGCACAGATGATCCATTTTGGGAAATACCTTTTGCCTCTACAAACCTCATGAAATTCATCTGTACCACCCAGAGTGATCTAGCACAAGAGATTTCATACATGAGGTGCAGAAGGTTGTAGACTGGGTCTTTGGCCTTACATCCAGGAATTTTACAAAGCACAGTAGGTTGGTTTGAGCCAGCTTTTGTCTGAACTTATGCAGTAGTGAAGCCTTCTGAGCTATCATGTTTGTCTGCATTTCTGTTACAGTCTATTTTAGGTATATATCCTGGCCATTAAGTTACTCCATGCTGCAATCTGATGCTGAACCTCTCCGACCAGTGAGGACTGTTTTAAAACGCATATTCTTTTCAGTTGTTTAGTAAGTTCTTTATGCTAAATATGTAAATAAATAAAGTTCCAGGACTTCACCTATAACCTGAAGATAGCTTTGAATGTATGCAATTAAAATAATAGTCTGCATTTTGTTAATGGGGAAACCAGATTGTTGCTTTTTAATGCATATTTTGGGTACCAACATTTAAAAAAGTGGCTGCAAAATGACTACTTATGAATAAAGGACTATATATTCACGTTTACTGACCATTATTATGTATATATTGCAATGTGTGGCTTATGTGGTGAATCAAGAAAAACATGTTTTAAATACTCAAGCTCATGTTGCTAAGATGAACTGTGAACAGTGTCAAGAAACCTGATGTTCCAGCCTGCGTCTAATTTACATTAAACTTCTGACTGTATGCATGTCCTGAAAAGCAGCTAGTCCCCTCATTGTATAGTGTCACTTTTCTCTTGTCTTTAAAAAGGCAATGGCAAGTTTAGTGTATCTTGGAACTGCCCTTTTAATCATTGTGGGTATGTGCAGATATTATACTTGGATCAGCTTAACTAGGGTTGGTTTGATCCAAGTGCCAATCTGTACAGATGTTTAGGGCGATTTGATTGGATAAAAAAAGGGTGGAAAAGAAAAACTTCTTTATGGAAATGTTGTTTCATAATTGTTCACTACAGGGCTTTGTGCCCATTACTAGGAATCATCTGGTACTAGCCAGTACTAGACACAGGATACCGGATTAGATGTCCTGCTGGTTTTATTCAGTGTGGCATGTCTTTGTCTGCATTTCTGTCTAGGGTGGGAGGGCAGGAAATCTGGGCCCAGGACTCCGACTTGTTGCCTTTCAGTGCATTCAAAAAGGAACGTAGGTTATAGCCATATTGGTCCAAGGACATAGGCAGACAAAGCTCTTTGGGTAAATCTGATATCTTTTATTAGAGCAACTCAAATAGTTGGAAAAAAATATTATTGGAGAGCTTTCAGGTATAAATACCCTTCCTCAGGCTGAGGAAACATCTGTGTTTGGTGTGTGCTCTTTCTGGATGGAATGAATAGTAAAGAAGTCAGAGGCTGGTATGCATGCAAGAAAGCCAGTCAGTGAAAATGTAAATTGAGTAGTCAGTGGGTGAGCGACATGTGGGAGGGTGGGGGAAGGGAATGAATGTAGTGGAGATGTACCTGGGAATTCAGCTGCATTCATAGTCTTGTTCTATGTAGGATTGATGCTGCAGGTAAAAATATCAACTCAGTGACAGCTTTCCCAGAAGCTCATTCACTCTGGTTAAGAACCTGACAAGTGTATGTAAAAAATGCTTATAGAGCACAGATATTGGTTCATTGATTGATCATTGAAAATTTATTTAAAGGAATGAAGTCATGTGAAGAAACTCTGCATACTTGCATTTGATTAAGAATGATTTAAGGTTAATGGGCTGAGATGTAGGACATGTACTTTCACTTGGGACAATAATGCTAACATGGAACAAAACATTAGGTCCTTTTTTTATTCTGACCATCCATTCACTGACCATGTGGGAGCCAAGTTGATACTATAATGGGTTTAGAGCAGTGGGACTATGCAAGTTCTATGCCATGGGTTATTTACTTTTTTTTCCCAAAAAGATATATTAGTTGTCAAGTTATGCAGCTGGTTGCCTAGACTGAGAGTAGAAACTATTACATCAGGGGTTTTCAACCTTTTTGGATCAGTGTACCCCTGGCGGGGAAGGGCATGGTGCACGGCCGGATGTGCAAGAGTGGCAGCCACTGT